CTCCTGACTCCAAAGACCCTCGAGCACCTGTGTCACTGTTGGGTTTTGGCCTCCTGGGAAAGGCTAATTGGAAACAATGATTTCCCAGCTGCCTCAGTCACCAGGCATCTGAGCTGGGGCTCAACCCCAAGAGACACATCTGAGCAGAGGTGGACCCTGGTCCTTCACCTGAGACTCAGCATGGAAAGCAAGATGGGCTAGGTCCCCAGGCAATTAGCCAACCACCTTGAGGACTGAGGAGACTCCAGAGGAAGGTCAGCATCCCAGGGAGGAACAGAGGAGAGAAGATGCTCCTGGCAGCTCCTCACCCACCAGGGTGCAGCCCAGGGAGCCCTCTCCTGTGGATGCAAATGATAGATGCAGTTTTTTGGTCAGCTCCTCTATGCCCAGCTTATGTCAGTTAATTATGAATTATTTAAAGTTAACATACAGACAACATGGCAAGGCTGAGACCATTTACCATTTATCCTATTCTACAGGCAAGAAACTGAGTTACAGGGGGATACAGTCACTGAATCAGAGTCACACAGACATGACTAACCAATCAGAGTCATGCCTAGATCACAGTCCCAGCCTCTCCTCGACCCCAGGGGCCTTACTGAACATCTATGGACCCAGAAGCCAGCTATTGCTCTAGATCATTTCCACCTGGGCATCCCCAGCTCAGAAGGAGGTGCTGGTGTGGAAAGTGAAAGGAAATGGAAAATTAGTTACTTATACCAACAATCAGAGTCAGTGAAAGGAGAGTCCAGGCCTGCCCCTGTCAGGCAGCTAATGCACAGGCTCCTTGTCCTGGATTAGAAATCAAGCATTTATTTCCTAATGTGCTGGGTGTCATTCTCACTGGAGTAAAATGGAAAGGACTTGGTTTCCTCAATCCCCAGTCTATACCTGCAACCAGCACAGGGCCCAACAGGTAACAAATTCTCAATCTCTCTGTGATGAAGGAAGGGTGGAATAAATAAGAATGAATGAATGATCTATAATCTCTTCAGACACTGGAATCTGCATGCAGAGTCCTAGGAGGTTTTGGCCACATCTGTTCCTGTCTCTCCAGGGATGGGACCCATATTCCATCCTCTGACCATCTGCCCCTAAAGCAGGATGGGAGCCAAGTCTCACGATGACTGTGAGGCTGCTTGGCCATGGGAGGGTTGCCAGGGTGACATGGGTCCTGCTTTAGGCAGCTGTGGGACTCTTGGATCTTTGAATCTGTGAAATCACTTGTAACCTCCACTTTGAAGTCACTCGTAAATGGACATTTCTAACTCTCTCCGCTCCTTCCGTGTCTCTCATCTTTCT